ATATTTTGCCGCCCCCTTCTCATTCGTTTTAAAACTTGATAAAAACCATCAAATGAACATGCCAGCGGGGGAGGGAGGGGTGCATAAGACGCATTTGCTTGTGTTGAACACATTTTGTGGGAAAGCCCTGTCGACACTACAAGCAAAAGTTCGCGAATCTTTGCGCGAAAGTTCAGTTCCGTGAATCTATCTCTGTGTGGACAAGGCCCTCCACTCATAAGAATTTAACGAAAAAATTATGAAAGAACAAACTTAATTTGGAACTTCCGCCGCTGCGCCGCGCAGACCGCATCGTAATGGACGCAATGCGTGAAGTATTCACGCATTCTTGTAGGCGCTATGCGTTTCACGCTGACCGCACTGTTTGGCGCAATGCGTGAAGTATTCGTGCATTCTTGTAGGCGCTATCCGTTTCACGCTGCCCGCAATGACCGCACTGTGTTTGATGCAATGCGTGAATTATTCGTGGAGTCTTGTAGGCGCTAATATGTTGCATGCCGATCGCCGCGCCGAGAGCTTCTCCTTTTCATCTCAAGTCCTCGTTATCATTTCTCTCTTAAGTCGCGCCGTTCTAGGCCAAATTGCGTGTTTGGTTTCTCTCGTAACTCGACTTATTGAGGGTGCTGTCTCTTGTATCACTAAGAGACGAAAAAATTAGAAATTACGATACTTTCAGGAAATGAGAGATTTTGTAGCCTTTTCTCGTTTGTAATTTTGTTTTTATAAATCCGATTTTTTTTATACCTACACATTAAAAAATTGCAAATTTTTGCCGCCCCTTGGATTTACCGCCATGGGCAGCGGCCCATGTGGCCAACTGGCCACCCCCTTTATCCGGCCCNGGGGGGGGGGGGGGGGGGTTACAGAATTTTGGGACACCCTGTAAACGAAGTAAAAAAAATATTTATTAAAGGGGAAGGGAGGGGGGAGGAGAAAATATCGATAATCACAGCCTTTATACAGCATGAATTACGTCTCATATACTCGGCAGTGTTTCTCACGTATAACTTTTGAAGTACACCACAGCAAACAAGACAAACGGAAACAAACATTATGAGGAAATTAGGCAAAGGAAGGGACGCGCGTTGATGACGGAATTGACGGCGCAGAAATACAACTATTCGTGCTTGATGAATGTGCGTGTTGCACGTGCAAAATTGAAGAAGCGCGATGGCGTGAGACGAGGGCGAGGTGCGAACTTGCAACGTTCCGCGCTCTGTGCTGGCAAAGATGGTGTCGCTGAGATTCGGGAGAAAAGTTAAAAAACGAGGCCCGAATTGTTAGGTACCTTCGGCTGTGTTGGACAGGGACGGATTTGCGTTTTTGGCGCCCAGTGCAGAAATTTTCGAGGCGCCCCCCTCGCAGCCCCTGTGATTTTAGTTAAAATCGTTCCTTAAATTACTGTAATTTTTTTAGAGAATCTGTACGTATGTTTTAAAATATATTGATTGAATTTAAAGCGTTAACTGTGATTTGCAAAGTTGCGATCGAGGTAAATAGGCTCCTTTTCGCGTGGAACCATCGATATTTGAGTTCGTTTACGGCAGGCGTGACATACAACTATTTGACCACGGGTGTACGCATGTTGCAGCTCCGTCGGATTGAAGGCGCTTCAAACCGCGAAGATGTCTGCCGACTCTCGCAGGCGGGAAGAACGCTAAAATTGCTGCGACACTTAGACGACGCGTCATTATTTACGACTCTCTTCTAATTTTCACCATAAAAAAAAAAGAAAAAGAAAATAACTATCCTAATAGCAACGATTTAGAATCAGGGACCTTGGTTTTTTCGGTAAAAAGAAAAAAAGGAAAATAGGACTAAATATGACATCGCGACGAAATTTCCTGTGATTTCAATTAAAAGCGTTCGTAAAATTATTTTAAATTTTTCAGAGTATGTTTCCGTTTCTTTTTAAATATATTGATTGAATTTGAAGCATTAACTTTGGTTTACAACGTTGCAATCGAGGTAATAAGTTCCTATACCAGTGGAATGAACCATTGATATTTGAGTTCGTTTACGGCAGGCGTGACATACAACTATTTGACCACGGGTGTACGCATGTTGCAGCTCCGTCGGATTGAAGGCGCTTCAAACCGCGAAGATGTCTTGACCGCCCTGCCGACCCTCGCGAGAGGGACGAACGCTAAAATCGCTGCGACACTTAGACGACGCGTTTTATGACTCTCTTCTAATTTTCACCGAAAAAAAAAAAAAAAATAGATAAATAACTATCCTAAAAGCTACGATTTAGAATCAGGGACCGTGGTTTTTTCCGGTAAAAAGCAAACAAAGGAAAATGGGACAAAATGTGATATCGCGCCGAAACTTCCATGTGTTTTCATTTAAAACCGTTCTATAAAGTACTATAAATTTTTCAGAGAATCTGTGCGTATCTTTTGAAAAATATAAGTACATTGAATTTGAAGCATTCACTGTGGATGTCAACGTTGCAATCGAGGTAAATAAGTTCCTGTACGCGTGGAATGAACCATCGATATTTGAGTTCGTTTACGGCAGGCGTGACATACAACTATTTGACCACGGATGTACGCATGTTGCAGCTCCGTCGGATTGAAGGCGCGTCAAACTGCGAAGATGTCTGCCGACTCTCGCGGGCGGGACGAACGCTAAAATCGCTGCGACACTTAGACGACGCGTCATTATTTACGACTCTCTTCTAATTTTCACCATAAAAAAAAAAAGAAAAAAAAATAACTATCCTAATAGCTAAGATTTAGAATCAGGGACCTTGGTTTTTTCGGTAAAAAGAAAAAAATGAAAATAGGACTAAATATGACATCGCGACGAAATTTCCTGTGATTTCAATTAAAATCGTTCGTAAAATTATTTTAAATTTTTCAGAGAATGTTTCCGTTTCTTTTTAAATATATTGATTGAATTTGAAGCATTAACTTTGGTTTGCAACGTTGCAATCGAGGTAAATAAGTTCCTATACGCGTGGAATGAACAATCGATATTTGAGTTCGTTTACGGCAGGCGTGACATACAACTATTTGACCACGGGTGTACGCATGTTGCAGCTCCGTCGGATTGAAGGCGCTTCAAACCGCGAAGATGTCTTGACCGCCCTGCCGACCCTCGCGAGAGGGACGAACGATAAAATCGCTGCGACACTTAGACGACGCGTCATTATTTATGACTCTCTTGGTTGGAACTAGGTTTGTCTCCCTCTCTCTTTGATTTGGCACCTGCTAATTCTGTGATTTCTTCTATTTGATGTAGGCCTATATCTAAAAGCTCGTATGTACCGGTCTCATACAACCCGCAGAGGACGTTTTTTTTTTAGCAAGCCTTGGGTCAGATTGGCCCGCGGCTTGGGCATCTGAGTATCAAAAAAGTCATATGCGTCGGCAGTTTGGAGTAAATCGTTCCTGAGACTAGAAACAGCGCGAAATTTTAACGGCGATTTTTTCGAATTTCTTGTTTTTAATTGTCCTCGAACTTTGAATTGAAGTCAAAAGGTCAATTTCTGGTTGCCAGGTAGGCACATAGTGCCTACCTAATATTTGTATAGGTTCTTTGAATAGGTACTCAATTTTCTTACGATGGTTACTATACTATGCTAGACTCACCATCAATTCATATTTATTACTTGCTGCACCTAAATCTGACGCCTTTTCAAGGTGCATTGCGATTTCATTCATTCCTTCAAAATGATAATGATGATTTTTAAAGCTTGATTTTACACAAAAACTAGGAAATGTATACCTATCTATAACGAGATTTCACAAAAACTGTCAATGAGAAATTCTTGAAATTGTGCTGGTTGGTAAATATATTTTAGGACCTATCAAAAAAATAAATAAATAAACAGAAGCCGTTTTTACAGCGAGCAGTATTTTTAAGATTCTCACTCACAATAATTGAGAAATATGGATTTTGAAAGTTATAATTTTGGTTTACAGCAATATGCAAGCAAGATTGCACAATCTTATCAGAAAGCAATACGGCACCGATTTGAGGATTTGAATGGAGATCCTGCATGCTTAATGGATTTTCGATTTAAGTACTATTTATTTATTTTTATTCAAAATTTTGCAAGAGATGTAATGGTGATGTTTTTCAATGAAACAAACTCTCAGACTAAAAGAAACTCTTAAAGTTGACGCCACGATGGGCAGGATTTCCTGTGCTATACTATGAGTTCACCTTCGTACCTAGTCCAACTTTCTCTGTACAGATGGGGAGCAAATAGAAAAGCAGAGTTGCCGTGGTTCTAGTCTGGAGGTCCCAAATTAAGTGGCAACTTTGTTTGTATCCCCATCTGTGCATGCTGAGCTTGACTGTAAAGAGGTGGATTCTCAACACTACTGGGGGACCCTCTACATAACAGCCTCAACATCGTTGAGAGCTTTTTCTGAGCCCCAGAGTTTGTTTAAAGAAAACCAGTGGCACCATCAAGTTTTTGTGCTCAATTTTACAAAAGAAATAGTACTCTACAAAATTAAATCACAAATTCCTGACACATGAGAGAGCTACATTAACCTTTTTTCAGGTTTTCTTTGCAGGTACAAGAGAATATAATAGAAAATTGAGGCTCTCTAATATCTAGATAAGGAACGTTTTTTTTTAAATCTCAAAAATATTATCATTCAGACTGCAATAAATTTCCTATACTCACGCCTACTTCACAGCCTTTTTTACCATTGTTTAATTTTCAATCTTGCTATGGTATACAGATGTTTTTACTTACTTATTGAAAAAAAGACAATGCCAATTAATACACTATGCTGTAATAATAAAACATGACTGCTTGTCAGAACATTCTTTTTTTGAATGGCTCTTAATGAAAAGATTATTTGCGGCACCATGATTTTTTACAATCTTTTGAGTTGTGAAAAAATCATTGCTTTGACATCCCTTACTAAACAAAACCCTTTAAAAATGTCTTGAAATATTAACTGAGAAATAGTTCTTACTAAGTCAATGACATTTGTTTAAAATGGAAAAGGAAAATTATTAGTAAATGTAAATGATTTAAATAACAAAACGTAACATTTAATTTATTAATAAAAGTCCTGTCGAAACATTATGAACTTCTAAAAAGAAAGAAAAAAAAATTTAAATGAACAATTTAAACCATATACTCAGGATTGATAATAAATGAAAATATCTACACGACAGATTGATCTTCAAGATGTTAACTAAAATTATTTTCATTTTCAAAACTAAGGACTCAAATTTAGTTGGGCAATTTCCCAGAGTGTAACACTAGAAAACCTGTTCATATTTTAAATAGTGATGGATGACTTATTCCTCGTAGTCATCAGGAGGGATTCCTAGTTCTTCATCACTCCAAGTAGACGGTTCTATGTAGACCCACTCACCAGGCTGTAACATGGATATCCAAATCAATAAATGAAACTATTCAGTGGATGAATACAAATACTTACTTTTAGTATTCATTTATCTTTCAAGAATCTAGGTCTTTAAGAATTTAATATTTTACATCAATTATATCTATAGTTGACAACTATCTAGTTGAAATCAGGATTCACTTTTGTCATTCCTTCAGCAATGGAAGATCTGTGTAAACTGGATGCTCTTATATGTATAACTTCTTATGAGAAATAAAGACATTAATCCTTCAGTGGGAGCACTCCTGGGAGCTGTCTGAATGGGCGTGCCGCGGCAATATGGCGGTGCGTCTTTCCATTTTATCATCAGCCACTCAACACAATTTAGAGTTAGAGCTTGCTTCATTTTTACACTCTTTGTTACAATCTGAGTTTATTCAATCCAAAAGAATCTGTACAACAGAGACTGGCAAAAACGAAAAAATTAACTGCTAGTCAAAGATAAAAGAAAATTTAACCAAACGAATTTTACACAAAATATTTTTCTTCAAGCAGTTTCCTCAAAAAAATACTGGGATATGTTTAAAATTGTACAACTGCTTTGTTGAAGGGACGGCAGAGAGAATGGCGAGAAGAGAATAAGAGAAAACTGGAGGAGGGAGAGTCGCCGAGCTATACTGTCTTCATACATCGGTTCAAGTTCTGACGCACATTTTGCACAAACAGCAGTGGTCAGGCTATGAGCTTAGCAGATATACGTAATACATCCTTTGAAGACAATTTTGGTTCTGTTAATTTTGCAAGCGCCACATGAGCGAGCTGTTTTCAATGTATGAACAACAAAACAGCCTAGTGATTCATTGGCAAGAAAACATGGTAAAAAGCACCAAAAAGCGGCAACTTCACAGATAAAAAAGATTTCATTTATGATCATGTTGAAAATGAGCAAGAAATCAAGGAAGATGGAGTCAGCAACGCCGCAAAAATTGTAACACTAGTGGGCGCAGTATGGTAACTTGGCTGCAGATCTTGACCGGTTTGTCTTCCGACCTTGTCTTCTGACAACCCTGAGTTAAGTTTCATTTCTAGTGGAAATTTACAGTGAAGTGAGAAGTTCATAATGGTATTATGATTTCAAATGGTGTTGGGCGATGACCTTTCATCCAAAATTAAGTAAGTTATTGGTGTATATTGATATTGATTGGCTTTCACCCCTATCCAAAGTAACATCACAATTATTAAATAGATAATAAGTTGAATATTTAAATACACAAGCTCTGATGGACCAGTAGACAAGGTACGAATTTACTCATCCTAATACATGTTTCTCAACCATAGTTTCATGTAGAAAACGATTCATGCAACAAAAATTACTGAAATCAATTCATAACAAAGATATTAACATTTTTAATTCACATTGGAAATGGGAAATTTGAATTCCCCGCTTATGATAGAGACAATACTCCAATTACTCCATGTGAGTCTAATTGAGCACCACAACAATTTTGGCAGGCTCCTTAATTGAGCAGAGCTTTCTTCCACCCAGTGCTGTTAAAACCCTGGCGCTAAGCCTAAGCGCTGAGTCAAAGCGCTAAGATTGAGGTTGTCATATGTATTTCCTGAGAGCCACAGAGACTATTCCCAAAATGTTTGGTGCGCAATTTGATTCAAATGGGGTTTGGTTTTGGCATGAGGGGTAAATTAGATTTTGTGCATCAAAAAACGTTAAATATCTCAGTTAGGAGTTGATTTCAGCAATTTTTGTTGCCCATATCACAAACTGAGTGAAATTTTTAGGAGGAAACATGTATCCAAATGCTTAAATTCGTGCCTTGTCTACTGGTCCATTGTATGTGACCATTATTGCTTCGTCAGCGGCTATAATAAGGTAAAAACAAGACACCAAGTTGTTAGACACCCTTACAAAATATCGATGATAAAATTACCAGAAAATGTATCTCGATTTGACATTGCAGACTTCTTTCATTCCTGATTTTTTTTTATCCTTTAAAAAAAATAAAACAGGAGCGGAGATTTTTAAATACCGCAACAAAGATATGTGGTGTAGGAGTTTCACCATTGATATGCAACACAGCTTGTATTTTGGAGCAAGTCAGTATAAATCTCAAAAAAAAAAAAAAAGAAAAAAATAAAAACTGAACTCCTAATCAATCAAATTATGATCAATTAAAAATTCTTGGCTTTGTTTTCTCCGCAAAATGGTGTGAACCCAGCATCATTGCTCTACCTTGTTAAAATTTAATGTAAATATTGATTTATCATGACCATTTATAGCACAAGTCATGCAACAAAAATTGGACAGATAGATCTGGTCTGCAGCCTACATGTCAAAGAAAATCTCTGGTATCATTTATCCATTCCTGGGGGGAAATAATACATTATTTGTGACCAAATCTGTGAAAGAGGGCCTTATCATTTGGGAGAAAATTGCCCTCAAATTTTTGCAAATGCATGCAGGAAAAAAGTCTCTTTCCACAGATCAGGTCACATCTTAGTGATGGAGGAGAAAGGGGGTAAAATGTAAGATCACTTAATTATGATTCCAGTTGAGTATACTTACAAAAATTTCTTCAAATTCATACCACATATGATAAAACATCCACCACCAAAAGAGACCTCCCCCAAAGTTAGCTAAAAAAACTTGACTTCTCTCTTGTACTTTAGGATCATATTGATTACGATACATCCAACTGAAACATTAAATCCATCAATTAACACAGAAGTTTAGATAGAGAGGGAAAAAAATTTCACTTGAATGAATGAAATGAGTGCACAATATAAAAAATACAAATACATAATACAGTTATTGAAGAGGAACTAGAGTTTTATCTGGAAATATATAAGTAACAAATAAAAGAATTGAAAGTCCATTCACTTTCTATTTAATAATTAAAATAAAAAATCACTTTGACAGTAGATCCTCCTAAATGGGAAAAAGCAGGTGACGTCTCACTTAAATTTGTAAATAAAAAATCTGTTGTTCAAGATAATTATCTGCCTTCAAGGTGATTAGTCAAAGTTTCTGGCGTGGTCAAACTGGTGAGCGATACATCGCATCCATTAAGTAAGACATCTTGGCAGATTTAGAAGTTTTGGCCAAAAAAAGAACCCCTATAGCCCCTGCTTATAATTTAAAGAATCATAGTTCTTTAGACTCATCGTCCTATTTATGGCTAAAAATTCTAAATCTGCCAAGATGATTTATTAATCGATACGATATATCCCACACTAGTTCAACCATGCCACAACCAAGACAAATCACCTTAAAGCAGGTGTTATAAAGGGTGCAGAAAATTCTCCGCCTTCACATTTTAGAAGGCAGCCTTTGCATATTTTGAGATTGTTTTTGCATTGCTATCCCCATGAGACTTGTGCACTTCAGACTTCACTGTTTCCTTTGCACAAAATAGTGCATCGCACAATATTCTTCGCGTCAGAGAACGTGTTGCAGTTTCTTTCGCAAAGCCCTGTGCTCTTAACGGGTTTGTTTAATATTTAACCAAACAGATGCCTTCAAAGTTGCTCTGCGATCGGCCGGTCAAGCACTTCTTCAACCCCTTAGGAAGCATTTACCGGTTAACATTCTCTTCAAATGATGATTAAGACACATCTGATGAACAAAGAGGTTAATAAGAATGGCTAATTCAATAGATACAAAGAAAATATGTATGATATATGCTAGGTGGCGATAAATTTCATGCACGGAAGCTCTTCCAGTTCCACCATGGTTCCACCCATAGCAATGAAAGGTCATTGTATTGCAAGGGATAGAGAACGCCTAAAATGGGGCCAAAAATTACTTTCCATTGTACTGCAAGATATAAATTTGGCAATGAAATCCAGTTTATGAGGGAGGAGAAAAGAAAAAAACGTAAAATATTCTATGACTTACACTTCGTCGCCAAACTTGAGCTTGTTCGTTGTTGAGAAATTTCTTCTTGGTAAAACATTGTTGATGGGGACTGGAGGACGGCACTTGGCAAGTCTCGGAAGTAAAAACCTCGCCAGAGCCATGGCCGATCAAAAATCAGACAGACCTGGTGATTAATTACCTGGAATCATACAGTCAAAAAGGTAGTTGTGGACTAGTGGAAGGCAAAACAATAAAATAATAAAATTGTTTCAGTTTGGTTAGGCTTCGCTTAGGATATGATCATTGACGTATAATACAATCGATGTTTACTTTTTGCAGGCAAAGACCCCCTCGAAATGAGCAGNAAAGGTAGTTGTGGACTAGTGGAAGGCAAAACAATAAAATAATAGAATTGTTTCAGTTTGGTTAGGCTTAGGATATGATCTATCACAGACTACATGGAGAGAGAGAGAACCAAACGATTGTATGGTGCCGGACTACGCTGCAACCAAAGCTACACGGCTGAGTTGGGTCTGACTAAAAGCTTTGCCCACTACCCACTACTAACAACTAACAATACAAAACATACGCAGAAAGCTTATTTATCTCTGATTTTTCTAGAATGATTATTTTCAGGGGCTTTTTTTGGGGGAGGGGAGGGTTGAGGAATTGATAATTGATGTCACTAAAGGAGGATACTAATCAAGAACGGACAAGCTGACAAAGTTGACCATAAGCTTTCTCTGTTCTAGAGCGGTTCATTAGAGTAGAGTACTGGTAGAGTACCTATATTGAGAGAGTATGGCCACTGGGTCCCATGGAGAGGCTTAGGACCCAAAAATGGCGGTGCTTTGTTATGGTTTTTGAGGATGGGAGGGGGGTCATTGCCAACTTTTGACGGTTATCACCAACCGCACTTGCTGCCAACCTTACTACATCTAAGATCATTTTTCTCAAAAATTGCACACGATTAGCCTTAAAAATATGTAAAAAAGTCGCAATAGTGCATTTGGGTAAAGTTCTCGTTACGATAAGCAAAGACAACTACATTTTGAATCATTTTGCATTACATTAACTTTATGGCGTCCGCCATTTTTGGGTCCTAATAGAGTCCCTTTATATTGAGAGTCAAGACAATTTGAATCCATTTCTGATTGGTTCCCGTATTTTAGGCCTCCACAGTGTCACAAACGGGAATAAAGATTACATTTTCACCGATTGCAAAATTATAATCTGGAATGGACCAGGGAATTACGGGTTCGGCAAGGAACAAACGGAATGAGAGGAGGAACGGAGAGAGGCATTTGAGAATGGGCCGATCAAAGATTACGAAAAACGTTCAATTTCTGTAATCTTTATTCCCGTTTGTGACATCCATGAGCCGAATTGTCTTGACTCTCAGTTTAAAGGGACTCTAGGTCCTAAGGGCTCCATTCAGCCTAAGATGGCTGAGCCAATCAGAGGTGGTAACTCAAGTGGCCATACTCTCTCTTAATATATAGAGTCCCTTTATACCCAGAGTTACGACAACTCACTTTTGGTTGGGCCAGGATTGGGCTGAAAGTGGCCTAAAAAAAAATCCAATTCTGATTGGTTCTCGCTCATGGAGGCC